TCAAAGGGCTGGGGATTTAGCTCAGTGGTTCCAGCACCTGCCTCGCAAGCACAAGGTCCTGAGTTTGATCCCCAGTACCAAAAAAAAAAAAAAGAGAGAGAGATTGAGTCAAAGGAAAAATTACTGTGGTTTTGAATGAGTGGTTTTTTCTAAGATCTAGCCAGATACGATTTTTTTTCCATGTAGCAGTAGAGCCTATGGGTTTTTGTTTGAAGTACTCTACCTGCACCAGAGTCCCCTCTACATGTTCACCCCATCCAACTCAAGGAGCGTCCTTGCTCCTCTTCCTAGATGGGAAACTTGATCAGAGCTCTGGTCTCTGCTGAATGTAGATCTCGGGTCAGGGGTTCAAATGGACTGTTTTTGTTGGACAGTCAACAGGTCTGGTTGCTCTCTTCTCTCCCTGGGTGTTCTCATCCGGGATAAAGTTCATTGGTTAGTCTTCACTTCTACTGCCACGTGCCAAGGAGAAACTAAATGTAGATCAGGCTTGGAGTTGGTGGTTGGTTACATTTTGGAAGTGTGCCACATGTTCAGTACAGGCCTGCTTGCTCACACTGAGGGAAAGGCACTGTGAATCTGGGATAGGTCTGCTTTCTCGGGTCAGGAGAGGAGGACCGTGCATTCTATAGTTACTTCCATTGAGGAGTGGGGCCTGAACTTTCAATCCCCCTGCCTCAGTTTCCTAAAGTGCTAATGCAGCAGGAAACTGAATGGGATTCCCAGACAGACCACTCAAGCATGGAATTAGGAGCGAAAGTGGCTTTTATTAGCCAGTGGCTCAAGAAGGGACTTCTGTCCTCTCAAGAGCCCCAAATAGACATTTGTTCTTCTTTATATACCTGTTTTTACATCTATGAGTCTTAATTTCATTGGCGTTTCCCTAGGAATATAGAAAGCAGCATTTACACAAAACAGAGTAGTGGGGGGGGATAGTCAAAGAGTTTTGGCAGTACTTGGTTACTCAGTTACATTCTACAAAGAGCATAGTTACTTAGTTAACCCATGGTTGCCCAATTCTATACAGAAGGGTGGTTTCCTCTCACTGGGATTGCAGGCATTGCCACCACACCCGGCTGATAGTTTTGTTTTCTATTTTTTTACATGACTAGTATCTCAAACTTGAGCTTCTCAGGCTTTAGGTTTCAAACATAATCAGGTTCTGATACATATTTGCATGAAAGAAAATGCCATAGTCCAACTGTAAAACTTATAAATGCTGGCCAAAAAACACAAAGTTCTCAAAGTTGTTAATTTAAATGAGAATAATCTCAAGGAGAGAAAAAATTCCTTAGAGTGAAGAGAACCTGCTGCCAAGAAAATAGTGCTGTGTGGCACTGCAGTTGCCAGTAGAATCATTAATGCTGTTAGGTGAAGTGCCTGCCATACCAAAGTGCTGCCCCTTCTCTCTTGTGATATGTTTGATTTGGTTTGGGTTAATTGATGGGCGGTTTTCTCCTAAAAATTTAGCTTTGTTTATGTAGTCTTCTTTATAGATGAAAATGGCTTTTTAACATATAAATGTAAAGAATCTACACAGGAGCTGGGCACTGTGGTACACACTTGTAATCTTGCTGAGGCAGGAATATTGCAAGTTTGAGCCCAGCCTGGATAATTTAGTGATTTGGACTCTTGTCTCCAAAAAAAAAAAATTTAAAAATAGTTGAGGATGCAGCATTGTATGAAAGCCCTGGATCAATCAGTCAATCAATTGATCTATCTCATTAATAAGTAGTACTGGAAGTTTCTCTTGTTTTTTCTAGGATTTGAAACTACAGTGAGTTAAAAGAAAAGTAGGACCTGGAACTTAACTTGTGTTAGATTGTAAGCTCCTTGTGGATGTAAACCATTTATTTTCTTAGAACAACTACCTCTTGGTACAGTATCTGACCTGGGTACTTCTGAGAAGTCCAGTGAACTAAATGAAAAAAAGTCCCTCCCCCAAAAAGCTATAGTCAGTTTCTGACTTGAATGCTTCATTCATACAAATGAGATGGACTCTTAGCCCTTGCTATTACTGCTTTTTGTTTGTTTTGTTTTGTTATATATTTAATTTGAAAAATATAGAGAAAGATATACACAGAAGTTAAAATTACCCTCACTTGTAAAAATAATGTAACAGTTCTTCAAACAACTCTTCTGTTTCTCTGTCTATATGCCTAGTGTATATATCTTTTCCTAATGTAAATCATGTTAAAAAAGACTTTCCTAAACCTTTTTATGTTAAAAATGTAGTAGTCTTTCAAGAAAATGATGCCTTCTCATACTTGTGCTTTTTTTTTTATTTCCTGAGAAACAGTCCTAGTAAACAAGTCGCTGTGAATATATGTGTGTATCAATCAATATATATGTGAATAATATTTCTTCTAGAATTGTCTCCCTCATAAAATAAAAAATACTTAAGTAGATATGTAGGCATATATATTTATATACCTATTTCTAAAAACTTGTTTTTACAAAATAGAGTCTTGGGCCAGGGATTTAGCTCAGTGGTTCCAGCACCTGCCTTGCAAGCACAAGGTCCCGAGTTCGATCCCCAGTACCAAAAAAAAAAAATAGAGTCTCACTGTGTAGTTCAACCTGGCCTCAAACTCACAGTGATCCTCTTGCCTCCTGAGTGCTGGGATTACAGAGGTGTGCCACCAGGCTCAGCAAAAACATTTTTAATAGATATTACCAATAGGTACTGGTTTATACTTTTAGCTGTATATGAGAGCTCTTATTCATGTATACTTCCCTCCCCACCAGGACTCAGGACTTTCCGCTTGCAAGGCAGTTGTAGTGCCACTGAGCGAAATCCCTGGCCCATTCACTTATATCTTTGGAAAACTCTATCAGCATTTTTAAGGTTGTGATTTTTGATAGTGAGGAAATGGCTTCTCATGTATTTTGCATTTTGTCAGTTATTATTGAAGGTGAACATTTTTCATATGTATTGACCTAAGCAAAATACCTCTCAAATATGTTAGCATAAATATATATTTCCATTTGTGTGTGTAATTTTTTTTTTTTTTTTGAGACAGAGTTTTGCTATGCAGTTAAGGCTGGCCTTGAATTCACTTTGTAGTCCAAATTGGCCTCAAATTTACAGCAGTCCTCTTGCCTCAGTCTCCCAGGTATTGGGATTATAGGCGTGTGCCACCACACCTGGCCATGTTTTTTTTTTTTTTTTGAAACAGTGTCTTATGAAATAGTTCAGGCTGGCCTTGACCTTCTGGGGCAGGCCTTAAACTCACAACCCTCCTGCCTCAGCCTCCCAATTGCTGGGATTACAGGCATGCATCACCCCAACCATTTAACATAAATATATTTCTTAACCATGGTACTGTATTTATTCTGTGTATCATTAGTTTTATATATGGGTATAGTATACAATATAATGTGGGAAGTAGGGATGAGTAGGCTGGGGGAGGGATGAATATGGTTGAGATAGAAGTAGGGATGATGAGAGAGTACCTTGGCCATCTTATATAACTTCCCTAGAATAGTATAGATTTTGCTATTCATTTGCTAATAGGCCTTCTCAAGAGGCAATAGCACTGCCAAAGGAGGAAGGTTATTTCCTGCCTTTGGAATTCAAACTCACAATATATTTTCCCATACAAGTGGCATTAACATTGATCGTTCAGTTCTTCATGCTACTTACACGATAAGACAGTTGTGAATGGATAAACATTAAGGCTTACACAGCAGTATAGGTAGATAATCCTTGTCACTTAGTGTGGGAACCTAACAGTAGTTCCCAAATCAGGAATTTACAAATTACCCTTTTAAACAAAATTTATATTAACAAAAGCTGTATATATTACATGCTTCTCCTTTTTCTTCTTCTTGTCTTGATCCTATACCAGTTGAGAAGTATATTTGTCAGGCTATTTCTACCCAAATTTCCTTTAGAAAAAAATGAAGTTTGAAATTGTTTCTGAAAGAAGTTTCAATTAAATGTGACCATTAATGACCAAAAATAAAGTCATAATTTGTCATGGCTAATCATAATAACCTGAAGTGTCTTCCTCTTCTGTGTAACCTAATTCTTAAATAAAAATACAACAGAAATTCCCAGTTGAACTTTCTGTACTAAAATACTGTGCTCAGATATGCTTGTTTCTACTAATATAAAGAGATTTATAGTGAATGGTATGGTCAAAGAGGATTCTTAAGATTTTCTGAACTTGAAATACAAGGCCCCGTCATACTTATTGGCTCAGTGTTTCCTAAGAATATGAAAAGTCAAACTAGAATTATAAAACATGGCTAAATATAGTGGTTAGTTTATGTCTAAATTGAGCTCTTTGTTGCCTTTGCTTTATTTCAAGCTAATGTAATTTTCATTCACCAGCATGGGTACTAGCAATTATTTTATAGCAATCTGGGGGGGGGGGGCTACCAGGGATCGAACTCAGGACCTTGCGCTTGCAGAACCACTGAGCTAAATCCCCAGCCCCAACAAAGAACTTTTTAATCCTGAAAGCAGAGTTGAAATGGAAAAGTCTCTAAAACAGATGGAAGATGTCTTGAAGGCAATTACAGACCAAGCTGTGGGAGATTGAATCGAAATTGTCCTTTACCGACTACAAGAGCTAAACTCAGTTCCAGGTCCACCTCTCTTATTCTTACAGGAGAAGATGTGTAGAAGAACTTTTGCAGCTGAGCTTTCTGGATTGTGCCCCACATTGGAATTTTAAAACTAGTTTATGATACTTGCTGGAATTGGAATTTAGGAATTTTCATTTTGATAAGAAACTGGGATTTTTCTGAACTGTTTTCTATGTCAAAATCATTATTTCTACTTTTATAACTTTATTTCACCTTTAATACTTGGAATAATATTGAATAGTAAGTGGTAAGAACTTAGTTTTTTCCACCTACTGTGAAGTTGGATCTTTGAAAACTAGTGCTGTAAGCTTTTTGGAAAAACTGGTTAAATTATTTATTATAATTCTTTGTAAACTTGTCTGAGAACAGAATAGCATATATATAGTAGGATTCCACTTTATGCTTTTTATGGTACTATATGTTTAAAAAAATCTGAAAGAATACTTAAGATAGTCATGGTTATTTCTGGGGCTGGGATTCTGGGGGAATTTTTGGTTTTTTGTTTTTCATAATGTAAGACTTATAAAAGTCTTACATTACTTACTATAAAGTTAGCATATTTGTTTTTGTTTTGTTTTGGGAGATTTTTTTTCTGGTTTTTTGAGATAGCATCTCGCTACGTATTTCAGGCTGGCCTTGAACTCACCATGTAGCCCAGGCTGGCCTCAAACTCATGGTGATCTTCCTGCGTCAGCCTCTCGAGTGCTGAGACTACAAGCATGCATCACCACACCTGGCTATAATTAGCATGTATTATTTTTATAATCAGGAAGAGAATAAAGATTAAAATTTTTTAAAATCTATTTATGCTGCAAGCCTAACTTTTCAAATAATAATATAAGAAATATTCTTTTGATTTTTTTTTTTTGTACCGGGGATCAAGCTTGATTGTTCTTTTTTTTTTTTTGGTATCGGGGATCGAACTCGGGTCCTTGCGCTTGAGACAGGTGGTGGAGCCACTGAGCTAAATCCCTGCCCCCCCCCCCCACTTGGGACCTTGCGCTTGCGAGGCAGGTGCCAGAACCACTGAGCTAAATCCCCGGCCCTAGATTTTATTTTTTTAATGTGTGCTTCTGACTTAGTTTAGACATTCTCTCTTTCTCTTTCCCTGACCCCCAGGAAGCTGCTTTGAGGCGTGAGCAAAAGAAGCTGGAGAAGAAGCAAATGAAAATGAAACAAATCAAAGTGAAAGCCATGTAAAGAAATCCCAGAGATCTGAGTCCTAATGCCACCTGTATGCTCTGAGTTTATGGAAAACAAAAAACCGGAGTCCATCTCATCTTAAATTTCAAACATTCTTGGCAATTGGGAAATCATATTTCATCATCTATTCTGCTGTTGGTTTGAAGTTTTATAGAGGTTCTAGACACATTGAAAGGGCTCTATTTCTGTATTTTTCTTCTAGATAAGCAAATTATTTTGGTTATTTTATAAAAGTGATGTATAAAACATGTAGTTTTAAAATATAACATGAATCAGCAGTGCTTTTAGTACTTCAGTGTTTGAAAAATATGAAATTTATGGATAAATAATTAGTTGGTTTTTGTTTAAACTGGGCAATTGGAACAGCTATGGACATTGACTCTTCAACCAAGATTCCACAAATAATTATTGGAATTGCACAATAAACATTGCTTGGTGTTTTCCTCTGTGTCTACATTAAACTTGTGCAGAAGTAAAATTTAGAACACTATGTGGTGATGAAATTTCAAGAACTTAATACTGTATATGTTTTGTAGGTGGGAGGGACTGGTGACAGTATTATAGGAAGTCTATAGGTGATAGGACACTGATGTATATGTCATGGAAAACTAGGGATGGCTAGTAGAGGAGTAAGTTTTCTTCCTGCCTGATAGTATGAATTAATGACAATGTGAATGCTATATGTTAAGTGGTTATATGTGTATTTTTCTTGAGCCACAAATGCATGGAAAATTAACTGCTTCACCCAGATCAGCAATCAGAGCATCGGTCTGTGTGCGGTCACATTTTTTCTTCTCGGGCACTGCAACCTGTTGGATGTTCATGGAGAAGCTATATTCTCTGTATTATGGCTGTACCTTTGCTTCTCCCTGTACATTGCTCTCTTCCACTGTTGAGGCTGGTTATGGTCTTTCAATGAAATAGCCATAAGTATGCATAAATATACTTTTTTAAATGAGCTTTCCTAAAGTATTAAGAGCTCTTTCTGCCTCTTGAGGAAGAAACTCTCAGGGGAGAGGCCCATCTATCTGCACAAGCATTTGTCTTGTTCAGATCTCTGCATTTTATAAATGCTTCTTACTAGGAAAGCATTTTTGAAATTACTCCTTATACCAGGTAATTTTTGCTGGGGATTGGAAAGCATTGGGCTTTTTTGTGGGTATTGTGGGTAGTGGGGTTTTCTTTGTTGATGCTTTATGTGCAAGTCTGAAGCAATAACAATGAGTTGCTGTGAAAACAGCATGTGCTGCTGTCTCTGTAGCTGCTTGGGAACTTTCCACATGGGCTTTTTCCAGGTTAAAACAAGTATGTAAACTGGGAGATGTAAATGTAATAATTTTTAACAGTTCATAAATTTAAGTTATTATAGTGACAAAAATAACACAAAATTTGATTACTTTAAAACAATAGAATTCTAGATTAGAATTGTTTTACAAACCTTTAAAATACATTTTAGAAATCAAAGTTGATATGCTTAGCTATCTTTTGAGTAATATAAGCTTTCTTAAAGTCCCACACATTTGAACCATGGCAGCTAATTTTGTATTTAAGCATTCATATGAACTACCTATGGACATATATTAAACTGATTGACAAAATCTGAGTGCCGCCTTGACTTTTCTAGAGTTGCCCTAACAAGAGTATACTTCCATAGGAAGGTTTTGATCATTAAAAGTCAGCACTGAAACTCTTCCTTAAAAGAGTTTATTTTGAATATTCTCTCTGTTGTTACCATCACTACTTTAGAGTGTTTTATATTCTTAGTATATGTTATATTCTGTTACATATTATTAATGGGCTCCTGCGTACTGATCCTATGCTAGTCAGCTTTCTGTTACTGTGACAAAATACCTGAGATAATTAACTTAAAGGAGGAAAGATTTGTTTTAGCTCAAAATTTCAATAGTTTTCTTCATGGTTTCTTTGCCCCATTGTTTTGGACCTGTGGCAAGGCAGACATCACAGTGGGGAGCATGTGATGGAGCAAAGCTGCTCACCTCGTGATGGCCAAGAAGCAAAAAGAAAGTGAGGAAGGGCTGCCAATATCCCCTTAAAGGGCATTCCCCCAGTGATCTGACTCCACTACGCCTAAACCCCTCCCAAAAGCACCACAGGCTGGTAACCAAACCTTCAACACCTTCATGGTCTTTTGGGGACATTTACAATCCAAACTGGCCCTCCTCTTAGTTTTAGATACCATTGTCTTTCCAGTGAGTGAAAAGGACAAAAAGAGGAGGCTGTTCACTGTCACATACTAGAAAAATCACTACTAAATCCTGCAATCTCATCTTCATTGCCTGAGCACTCAGCAGTGCCAAAGTAAGCCCTGGACCATAAGACAGACCTGCCTTTCAGTTTTGATAAAACCAGTGTTTTTACTTTGGGCAAGTCATTAACTTTTTTGAGTCATTGCATTCATTCTACAAAGTGAAAGTAGTTATTGTTTTCCTTACATACTTCACAGGTAGTTCAAAACTAACAGGTAATATGTGTAAAATTGTTTGCAAATTCTAAAGCACTCTACAAAGGTATGGTATCATTTAAGACTATTCTTCAAGCGGTATATTGTTTTATTCTTTTCTTTCTCCCAATGGAAACCAAGCAGATCCTTTCAGAGTTTGTGTGTATGTGTGTGTGTGTCCCCAGCCCTGTTTTTTGAGATAAGGTCTTGCTGTGTAGTTCAGGCTGACCTCAAACTTGTGGCAATCCCTCGAGTCTCCTGAGTGCTGGGATTATAGGTGTGTCTGTCGCTTTCTCTACACCTCCCTCCCCCTGTACTGGGGCATAAACCCAGAGCCTTGGCACTGAGCTTCATCTCCATCCTTTTAAATTTTGAGACAGGATCTCACAAAGTTGCTAAGGCTGGGCTGTAGCTTGTGATCCTCCTGCCTCAGCTTCCCATAGTGCCCAGAATACAGGCATGTGCCACATGCCTTGCTCAGAATTCCTTAACTTTATCTGCAAAAATTGTCAGAGTATTTTTTGAGGAAGAGGGAAATCATTTATGATTGTTTCTTTAGCAATAGGAAATCTGACACCCTCAAGCACCAGCTGTGGAACTCCTTTCTTTTGACGAAATTTAGACCAAAGAAAAACATGGATATTCTCATACCTTCCATCCAATAGAAATTGGCAGTGTGAACATTATTCAGAGGTTTGTACAGGATTAATTTGATCTGGTGAGGAGGGGTGGAATACTGCATTTCATTCTCACAGATTCTTTTTCCTCACTGTTCCTGCCTCCATTTTGAATGATACAAATTACATACAAGGGAGAAAAATTTTGCAGAAGAGTAAAAAATATTTTCGCAATTTCTGATGTTTAGTGATCAGCAAAAGATTTCATTAAACTCTGTAGTGTTTGTACAAGCTGAATGCTATCTCCTCATCTACCTGAAGTGAGAGGTAGTATTGCTTTCAGAAGAAAGCTAATATTTTTCCAGTAGGAGACACTTGCTTCTATGCTACTGTACCCCTTTATTTATTATTTTATTTCCTGAGAAGAGGGTCTCCCTATGTTATCTAGACTGATCTCAAATTTGTGGGCCCAATGGATCCTCTCACCTCAGCCTGCCCAGTAACTGGGACTATAGGCATTCACCATCATGAACCAGCTACAACTATACCATTTTTAAATGGATATTTTAATATTTATTGGATATTTTATTGCTACCTTCATCTTTTAAAAATAACTCTCTAAATTCACCTAATGGGTTTATTCAAAAACTAACTTTTTTTTTTTTTGGTACCGGGGATTGAACTCGGGACCTTGCGCTTGTGAGGCAGGCGGCAGAACCACTGAGCTAAGAAAAACTTAACTTTTCGAGTTCAATCCCCGGTACCAAAAAAACAAAACTAACTTTTAAGATGTATTTGGGGGATGGAGATTTAGCTCAGTGATTCCACCGCCTGCCTTGCAATTGCAAGGTCCCGAGTTGGATCCCTGTACCAAAAAAAAACCCCAAATAAAATGTATTTGGTTGGTTGGTTGGGTTTTTTTGATGCAGTTGGGGTTTTTTTTTTGAAGTTCAGGCTGGTCCTGAACTCACTATGTAGCCAGGCTGGCCTCGAACTCACCACAGTCCTCCTGCCTTAGCCTCCCAAATGCTGAGATTATGGGCATGTACCACCATGCCTGGCTTTTAAAATGTATTTAAAAGTCACCCCAGGGTATGAGTGACACAGACATAGGGTCTCTTAAGTTGCAAAGACTGGACTCCTGCCTCAGCTTCCCAGGTAGCTGGAATTAGAGGCATGCACCATAGCACCCACCCCACCCAGTCCTTTTAAGTATTCCTTTTCAGTTGGGCAGGGTGGCACATACCTGTATCCCAGGACTTTGGGAACCTGAGGCAGGAGGATCATAAGTTCAAGCCTAGCCTAGCCTAGCCTGGACAATTTAGTACCTTAGCAAGACTGTCTCAAGAGCAAAAAGGGCCCGGGCATTTAGCTCAGTGGCACCTCACCTGCCTCACAAACACAAGGTCCTGAGTTTGATCCCTGGTACTGGAAAAAAATAAGTAACAAAAAAAGAGCTGGGACGTGAGGAGGTAGATCAGTACAAAGGCTCTCAGTTCAGTCTCTAATACTGAAAAAAAAATCTGTTTTGTGGCAGTTACTTGATAATTAGATACTACATCTTCCTGAGTTGTTTTATCAATTTTGGTTGAGGGAAAACTCAACTGCTTTTTAAAAAAATTACATTTGGGGGGCTGGGGATTTAGTTCAGTGGTTCCACCACCTGTCCCAAAAGCACAAGATCCTGAATTTGATCCCTGGTACAAAAAAAAAAATTACATTTGACATTTAAATACATAATTTCTTCTGCATATTTTTCTTTCCTATAGCTATGTCACTTAGCAAGGTTGTAGGAAAGCTAGAATTGAAGCCAATTTTCTGTTTCAGGAAAAAGCACTGCAACTAGGTGTGGTGGTACACACCTATAATCTCAACACTCAGGAAGCTGAGCCAGGAGGATTGATTCAAATTCCAGGCCAGCCTGGGCTCACCCTCCCCTCAGTCAAAAAAAGAAACACCTGGATTTGAAGGCAGAAGTCCAATGCTTGTTGTTTCTTTTGTGAGGTGCTGGGAGCCAGATGTGGCACACCTCTATAATCCCAGAACTATGGGAGGCTGAGGCAGGAGGATCACCAAGTTTGAGCCTTCCAGGGGCAACTTAGTGACTTAGCAAAATCCTGTCTCAAAATTTAGGGGCTGGGGCAGGGCTCAGTATTCAGATTTTAGGTTCAATCCCCAGGATCTCATGCATGTTAGGCAAAGATTCTACCACTGAGCTGCACCCTAGTCCTGTCTTACTGTTTTAACAAGTCTATTTCCTCATCTATAAGTAGACATAATTCTCTCCCTTTTATAAATTAGGTGTTTGAAAGTTCACATTAGATGTGTAATACGCTTTGAGATATAAAATGCTGTACAGATTAATTCTATTCAACCTGTTCTACACATCAAACATATTTCCCTGTTTAGCTTGAGTATTCCTATAACTTTATTTTTCAGAAGAGGCTGGTGTGGGCTAGGGACTTAGCTCAGTGGTACCAAAAAAAAAAAAAAAAAAAAAAGAGGCTGGTGTACTTAGTTTAAACTGAATACTCGATTAAAAACAAACAGCCAAGATCTTCACTCCATCCATCTCCATTCCTCCAGGCTTTAGGCCAGTTTTAGAAAGCTCTCGAAACCATGAAGACTCTAACCCTTACAAGTCAGTGAGAAACATTAGGGAGCTTGCATGACATCCCAGGCACATAACAAATCAAGAGCAAAGCAGGAAAAGACATACTCTGAAAATTTTGAAAGTTGACCTTTTCTTACACTGTTCTGTTACTTGGATTGGTATGTGAGAGATCCTGTTGTAAGGAAAACTAAAGCTAATATAAATTTGAACTTTGAAACCGTAGTAGCAGTCTAGCCCAAAAGATTCTCAGAGTAACTTTGTGAATAGTCATCCGCTCAGTAAAATCTTTTAGTCTCCTTCACTGATTTAGAAATTTAACATTTTGCTAGAACATGCCATAGCCATCTGGGTGTAGCGGTACAAACCTATAGTCCCAGTTACTCAGAAGACAGGCAGGGCTGCAAGCTTGAGGTAGGCCAGCGTAGGGAATTTAATAAAAAAATTTTTTGTACCAGGAATCGAACTCAGGACCTTGTACTTGTGAGGCAGGCACAGTGCCACTGAGTTAAATTCTCAGCCCAGAAACTATCTTTTTAAAAAATGGTTAAAGTGCTGGTGATGCTCAGTGGTAGAGTACTTGCCTAGCATGCCAAGGCCCAGGGTTCCATCCCCAGTACTACAAATGAAAGGAAAAAAAAAAAATGTATCATTGCTACTAGTTATTTAAACAGATGGAAAGTATTCCCCATTGTAACTGCTCCAAGAAGTTTGACATTTCAAGCACTGTCTTCTCTAATACAGCATTTTTAATTACAGAGGTCACGTGAACTCCAAGGAATTTTACCTCTTTTTCTGCTACTATCTTGCTTTGTGAATTTACCAAGTTTGCTACTAGGAGAGGCATCTTATTTTGAAAATGAGACAATGTGAGGACAGTGCTTTGGAAAATTAAAGAGAAGATAAGATTAAAGATAATAACAAAGGGGTGTGTGTAAAATCAAAGGAGACCTTCAAGTACTTGAGTATGGCAGAATCCAGTTTCAGTGGTGTATTTCCATCTGTCCCTGTTCTGATGTAGCTGCCCTTCTTCCCCATTTTGGAAGTTAAGACTACAATAAATCTGTGTCAAGGGTCAGGGCTTGGAAAAGATAATTCATTACTTGATAGTATATATCCATTTGGGGGCCCCTCACCCCACAGTGAATGGAATAACTAAAAAACCTAATCTCAGTTGGGTATCATGGCTTGCACCTATAATCTCAAGACTCTGGGAGGGTTAGGCAAGAGTACTGAGTTAGAGCCCAGCCTGGGTAATTAAGAGACGTAGTGAGACTCTTGTCTAAACAAATCCAAAACCATACAAATCAGACACACCTGAGGATGTAGCTCAGTGAGAAGGCCCTGGGGCTCACTCCCCAATATGATGGGGCAGGCAGAACTACAAAACAAATCCCCAAAACCCTAGTCTCACAAAAGGAGTCTTGCTCCGTCATAGTAATTGCTTTATTTCTTGGGCCTGTCATCCTTTGGCTTGGGCAGTTTCCCCATCAAGGCAAACCTAGGTTCTGCAATCATAGGTTCTGCAAACCGGGCAACTCAGTTGTGAGGAAAGATTTAGGGACAAAAGGATGCAGAAGGGAGAGAAATGATACTTCTCACTAGTTCAGCTATTACCCCCATTTTACAGATAAGGAATCTTGGGGACACAAAAAGGGTGAGTTTCTATCTTTGCAGTGGTGCTAGATTGCCTTTTTTCTTTTTGGTACTGAGGATCGAATTCGGAACCTTGCTCTTGCAAGGTAGGCAGCGGCACCATTGAGCTAAACCCCTGGCACTGCAGTGGTGCTAGACAGGCCAAAGTGAGGCATGTGGGATTTCTAAAGAAAGTGCCAGAGTTTAAATGTTTCCATTTAAGCTCTACCACATTAAATGACTTAAAAATTTTGTTTCTTTAAAGTAGCCAAGTCAGCAGTCAGAGGTGGTTTGCTTTCTCTATACCTTGCTTTCCCCTATACCTTTCAGCCCTACAATCACCCGACTTTTCCTTCTTGCTTCTACTTGGCTGGAGGCTCTGAGGAGCCCTCTTAGGATCCTGCAGGGTTGTAAACAAGCTAGATCTGCTTCCAATACACTTGTGGAAACGGACCCTCTCCGAGACAGAATGCACCCAAGTGTGAGCTGCATAGAAACGGATGAGAGGAGGGACTCTGGGTGCAGAAATTTGGGCACACCGCCTCCGGGAAAACGAGCGAGGTTGGCACCGCCAATATCGGGGCGGAGCTTCCTCACCCACTCCTGGTGGGCCCTGGCGGGGCGGGGCGGTGCTCTACACCTCCTCCCGTCCTTGAACTGCGCATGGCACGTTGCGTACTTCCCGCCCAGCAACCGGCCTGACTGCTGCGCGACCACTAAACTGAGGAGGCGGAGCCGAGACCGGGTCGGAGCTACGCGCCGACTGCTGGACCAGGTACCGGGTGGCGGGTCCGCCTGGTGAGCTTCCCAGAGTAGTCCTTCCTGCCCGGACGCCGAGGCCATCTCCTGAGTGGCAGGCCTTCGTCAGAGCGGCCCTCACCCCTCGCCCTCGCCCTCCACAGGCCCCATATATAACCCGCATCCTGGGTTCCCTCAGTGAGGGGCCTCGGTAGGGGCAGAATAGGCTTGGGCCTGGCCGGGAGATGCGGGAGCTGAGCTGACAGGCGAGAGAGGGGAGCTCCCGCCTTCCTTCCCGACCCCTGACCCCAGGTAGAAAACCTAGGGCCAGGTGTCATTTTGTCCTGCCCAGCAAAGTCGCGGCATCCCAGTGTTGGTCTTCCCCCCTCTCCACAATCTCATCTGAGGCTGGACAGGCAGCAGGCCAAGCCCCCATAAGGACGCAAGATCTAGGTGACTCCTTGAATCAGCCAAAACGGAGAGCTTTTAATTGTCTTGTAGTTGTGGGACCGGAGAATCTGGAGAGTGAACAGGAGGAAAGAAGAGTGGTTAAATTAAAATGTTTATAGATTTCAGGAAATGGAGAACTAACCTCTCTGCTCAGACTTTTGCTAAGATTCATACATACTTTACCTGCCACCCTCAAGAAAACCCAGTGGAATTGGTCCTCTTATTGTATTATCCGCTGAAGTAGAACTACGTTCCAGTATGTAGATGGTTCTACATGGGCTGATTCATACTTTCGAGAGACACGAAAAGACTTTTTTTTTTTAGACAGGGTCTTGCTATGTAGTTCAGGCTGGTCTTGAACTCACTGTGTAGCTCAGGCTGGCCTCGAACTCATGGTGATACTCCTGCCTCCCCCTCCCATGTGCTGTGATTACAGATATCCATCACCACACCCGGGCTTTTAAACATTTTTTAAATTTTTACTTTTTGAGACAGGGTCTCACTGAGTTGGTTAAGCTGGTCTTAAACTCACTATGTAGCACAAGCTGACCTCCCGAACTCAAGTGTTGGGATTATGGGTGTGCTCCACACCTGGCCCAAGACTGTTCCTGGTCCCTGATGGCAAAAACAAATTTCACTAGCTGCCTCAGGCCATGAGCCTGTTCATCAATTAGTTAACAGTGCTGAACTGGTCATATCTGTTCCTCTTATGGTAGCCAGGTTTCTTAGAGGTATTTTGGCTCAAATTCAGTATTTGCAGTTGTGACTCCAAACGTGGAGGAAGTTTAAAGAACAAGTGACGAAAATAGAATGGAAAAAATTTAAGCCAAATAAATTAATTCTTTCTGTACTGTTTGACACCTGGTCAGCCACATTCGCTAATCAAGGTAGTATCTTCTCAGTCATTTTTCTACACCCAGGTTTAAAACTTCTCTTGTCATTTTGGAACACTCTCTAAATCATTCAAGAAATCTTACTTTGAAAAAGACTTAATCAGTCTTTACGACTTCTTTGCATGACTTTGAGCATGTAACTTCCCTAAGCTTTACTTTCCTGAACTGTAAAATGGAGGATGATGCTGGGTATGGTGGGATGTGCCTGCAGTCCCAACATTTGGGAGGCTGAGGCAGGAGAATCACCACATGTCCGAGGCCAGCTTGGACTACATATTGAGTTGAAGGCCAGCCTGAACTAGTGAGACCTAGTCTCAAAAAGGGGGGGGGGGGTAGGGATTTAACTCAGTGGTGCCGCCGCCTGCCTGGCAAGCACAAGGTCCCAAGTTCAGTCTCTGAAAAAGGAGGATGATAGTACTTATTATGAGCTGCTTTCTGTGATTAGCACAGTTTGAGGAACATACATAATAAGTTTGCCATAAATGTTGGCTACTTGCATTATTTTTACTGTTAATTTAATATCCCTGGGGCACAGTAGCCCCTGAGTATGCAACAATGAACTACATTCATTCCCTGCCTTTGTGGAATTGCTATACTAGAGGAAGAGTTAATCAAGCACTTAAAGAATGGTATGTATGTGAGTTAAATGAGTTGGGGAAGAGAGAACAGTCACTCTTAGAGCTTTAGCTGCTGAAATCCAAGGCCACACACTCTGTAATTTCTCGTAACTGAATTCTCTAACTGAATGCTATTTCCTTCTGGAATATATACTTTTCAAGCTCTGTATGATTTTTTTTTTTTTTTTGTACCGGGGATCGAACTCAGGTCCTTGAGCTTGCACAGCAGGCAGTGAAACCACTGAGCTAAATTCCCGCCCCAACCTCTGTGTGATTTAAAACTTTTGCTCATCTTTCCACCAAAGCTACTTCAGTTGTTTGCTTTCCTCTTTCTGCTATTGATACACTGTTCTTTCTCCGATCACTAGAATGCAAAAAATTTGGAATCATCAGTTAGTTGTCCACAGGTAGGATGGGCTATCTGATAAGGTAGTAAGTGTCTGGCACAGAAAGATTTCAAGCAGGGGTTAAAAAACTATATATCCATACATTTGTAGAAGATATTCTCCAAAGGGTGGAAGATGGGCTAGATGACTTGTAGTGTTCTTTCTCACTACTCTATACTGTATTTATTTTATTCTTCCTTCTCTCCAATACATCTATTTCTTAATGGTCCCAACACCACAGGTTCTTAGCACAAATGTAGTCTAGGATAATTGTTTTCTAACTGGCATTCTTTTATCTGTCTCCTTCCCCATTCCTTTGCAGAGGAACATTCCTTAGAATATTTCTTGGAATAAGACTTCTCAAAAAAAAATTTTTTTTTTTTGCTACCGGGGCTTGAACTCAGGCCTTTGGGCTTGCGAGGCAGGCACAGAACCACTGAGCTAAATCCCCAGCCCCAAGACTTCCCAAACGTTAATGTTCACATATCTGCAGCATTGGTACCGAGGAGAGTGTTATGACCAGGCCGCATTCTAGATCTTCTGAATCAAAAATCTGCATCTTAACAAGATCCTTAAATGATCTCATGCACAATAAAAGTTGAGAGACCCCGTCTTAGCCTACTGTTGTGTGTTTGTCCTCTTTCTGTTCAAAATCTACAGTCTCTTCCTCTGGCTTGCTGAATAGAATCCATTACTGTAGCATGCACTGAAGGGTTGTTTGTTGTCCTTATATACGTAGAGTACTGCTTCAGTAATTGCCCTCACATTAAGTGGAGAGTATATGTCAACACACCTCTGTACATTAGGTCATTTATTCAGTATTATTGAGTGTCTACTCTATGGCAGGCACTATTGTAGAAGCTCAGAGAGATACCTTTGAGCAAGTTAAAGCACGTACCAAATATCAGTAGTTTGTACTATTTCTGACTTGAAATTCCCAGTTTCTGTATGTTCCATTTGACATTTTACATGTACTGCGGCTCATAATAATCTTTCCCTTTACTGAACTCTGTAAGGTTTCCTATCACTCATTTCTATGTGTGCATTTTCCTGTCCTGCTATTTATGTGTCTTGCTTCTACAACTAGCTTGCAAGCTCCTTACTTTCCAGGAATGTGTCATATGTTTTCTACCTTTTTTGTATAAAGACCAGGAACCAGGGCCCTGCCAAGAGCTGCTCACATTTAAGGATAACAAGCTCTTCATGGTTATCAAGTCCTGTCCCCAGCGTGCACTCTGGGTTTTTCAGATTAGCTAGAGGTGGCACACCCTTTTTGTGTGTGTATTTTTTTGGTACCAGGGATGGAACTCAGGTCCTTGCCCTTGTGCAGCAGGCGGCAAAACCACTGAGCTAAATCCCCAGCCCTAACCCTTTTCAAGTCTTAGTGTACACATCTCTTAATGTAAGATGATAGTTATTCTATCAATGCTCTTAATGTAAATAAATATCACATCCTTGTGCTGATACTTAGAGACAGTATATGGAAAGTGTGTATGATTTAGTTGTGCTAGTTAAGATTAATGCCTTTCTTTTTTTTTCTGCAGAATGTCAGTCATTGCCTCAGGTAGCAAGCAGTAGAATCTTTTAAATAAATAATTGATTCAGGAGCTCCAATGGCGCAATCAGTTAGTGTGTGGTACTTATACAATAATTGATTCTGTCTGCTAAATACCAAAACTATTTCTGGGATGGGTATGTAGCTCACTGGTAGAGTACTTGTTTACCATGAGCAAGGCCCTGAGTTTGATTCCCAGTACACAAATAATAAATAAATATTTTTTACATTTCCTTATCAATATTGCTTTGATAATGTATTATAGTGTTATTTTTTTCTTTTTTGCTGAGATATTGGGGATTGAACCCAGAGCCTTCACACTGAGATAATCCTGTTGTTTTATTGTTTTTTTATTTGAGAAAGGGTTTTACTATGTCCTATATTGACCAGGCTGGGATCAACTTGATGTTCTCTTGCCTCAGCCTCCCAGAGTACTGGGATTAGGCATGCATCACCATGCCCACTTGAAGTATTCTTCAATAAAATATATATTCAATAAAAGTGGATATAGTTCTGAATGTTATATCATCCATCTGTCTTCTCCTTTTATTTTGAATTTATATTTTTAGGAAAATTTGAAGGCATCAGTGATTATTTTTCCTGTGGTACTGTAGATTGAACCCAGGGTCTCATGCATGCTAGGTAAGCTCTCTACCATTAAACTACATCCTCAGCCCTTTTTGAAATTTTTTTTTTTGGTACTAGGGATCGAACTCAGGACCTTGTGCTTGCTTGCGAGGCAGGCTCAGTGCCACTGGCCTCTGTGTAATTCAGGCTGGCCTTGAACTCACTATGTAGCCCAAGCTGGCCTCAAACTCAGTGACCCTCCTGCCTCAGCCTTCCTCCTCCTGCCTCAGCCTTCCTCCTGCCTCAGTCTTCTGAGTGCTGGGATTATAGACGTGAACCACCATACCCGGATCCCTTTTTAAAATTTTGAGACAGGATCTCAATTGCCCAGGCTGGGATTACAGGTGTATGCTGTAGCATCTGAGAAGCAGATGATTTTAATGTCATAACAAAAGTTTATGGTGGTATACACCTGTACACAGGAAGATTGCCGTGAGTTTGAATCCAGCCTGGACTACATAGTGAGTTCAAGGCCAACCTGAACTCCATAGTGAGACCCTACCTCAAAA